CCCAAAGAGCCAGCACAAAAAAGATGATGCGTGTTAATTCTAACAGGGGTTATAAAACTCCAGCGCTTATTATTCCTCTTATAAAAGATATTAAGTACATCTTGAAAGGTTCTGGTGCTTTACAGCATTTGAAAGCTGTTTACATTCCTGACAGAGAGGCTTATTGCATTTGGATTACTTACTTGCTGTAAAACCACCCCAAACAAACAGCTCTCTGCTGTGTATTTCTAACTGCAGTTACTAGCACGTGTAGGACGCAGAACTCGAACGTACGTGGTGTGAGTCCTGCTCATGGCAGCTGCAGTTTCCTCCTCTCCCACCCGCAGACACAGGTTTGTTGCACACACACCGTGTCTTGAGCAAACTGAACTGTCAGCCTGTGCTCCCCGTTCCAGAGTTTCCCTGGGGAATTCTGCACTTTCACACTGTTACGAAATGGGGAGGAAGGTGTTTTTGTTAAAAATACCCCCACACTTGCTGAAACTGTTTGATTTTTGCCTATTTTTAGCAGAATTTCTCTTTTCTCATTGTCCCCAGCCCTGGCTGGAGCAGCAGTGTTCAGTGAAGCCACAGTTTTGGGTAGGAAGAACAAGACAGTTTGTTCCAGCAGCGTGATCACCATTATCTGGCACTGGGCATCACTGTGCAATGGTTTGTGCTTCCCAGAAACAAACCTGCCCACTGGAAAGTCCTTTTTCTTCTCTCTCTGAAAGCCTAAACCACTGAGAATTAAGTTAGGAGCCACACATTGTTTTTCCAGGCTTGGAAACAGGGATAAGTAGGATTTTCCTATGACTCCAGTTATTTGCATGCCTTAATAAGAGAGACTTGGAGCATGCTGACAGGTAGGAGACAGTGATAGACACGAATCTAAATATTAGTGTTTCTTTGAGCCTCTGTAACTTGTCATGAAACAACCCAAACGAGCAGCATCCTTATTTCCAGCGAACTAACACACCATTGCTTAATGACAACCTTCCAGGAGCACTTGCACAGTGAGTAATTCAGCATCCTCCAGGCTTGATGGCTTTTTGACAGCTCCAGGGATCTGTTCAGCTGCTCTAGAACCTGGATTGTAGATAAACTCTTGTGCAGGCTGTAGGAGGGGAATGGTTTGACTTCTCAAGACCACGTTGGACACAGGGGCTTGGAGCAACCTGCTCTAGTGGAAGGTGTCCCTGCCCATGGCAGGGCATTGGGACTGGAGGAGCTTTAAGGTCCCTTCCAACTCAAACCCTTCTGTGGTTGAACCATGGGTGTTAGGAACAGGAGGAGCATTGAGCCCTTGCACTTCTTTTAAGCCTCAAGTCTGTATTGTTGAAAGGATTTTAAGACAGAGAGATGAGATAGTGTGTGCTCTGCACAGCCCTGCCCTTGGACTGAAGCAGGGGTGAATTGCTGTGTTTGGGGGGGGGAGATGTCTTAGGATATTTGGGTGGCTGGAGGGTGTGCAGGGGACAGCAGGTTCACAAGATGCCCCTGTAGCAGTTTGCTTTGACACTGGGTGTTCAGAGTTGCCTTTTAAGAAGAGACATGTGGGGCTCCCTCCTCCCACAAGGATGGTCCAGGTCCTCTCCTGGGGGCTGCTCTGGCACAGGGGAAGTGGGATGAGGCCCGTTTGTCTTCTCCCCACAGGCTGCTCTGGGTGCATGTAGTTACCTTCAGCTTGCTTCCTGTTGCTACATTCTTATCCGGAGTAGGATATTCTTAAACTTGGTAATGATTAAATATAAACACGTGCTTGAGCTCTTTTCCAATGGGATTCTTACCCTGAGATCTCCGTGTGGGATCATAGCGAAGTTCTGCTGTGATTTGGTTATTGCCGTAGCGTGAAACGCCTTCTTTGCACTTGACTTGTGAAGAGCTGCCTTTTTCAGGCTGTCTGGCATCAAACCCTCATCCTGGGCCAGACAGAACCCCCAAAGCAGCATTTCCTACATGGCAGCTCAGAGCAGGAGGTGAGCAGCACTGCTTGGGTGCTCCCGCAAGAGCAGAGCATCCTCCTCCAGCATCCAGGGAGCTCCCGAGGCCCTTGCAGGCTCTGCAGAACTGAATAGGGGTGGAAGAAACTGGAGTTTAAATAAAAACCTGCTTGTGGTGAGGTTGTGGCAGTGCCTTCTGCAAGGGGGATCTCACGAGAGCAGAGTAGAGGGGCAGGACCCACTCCCTTGACCTGCTGCTCACACTTAACAAACATCTCCGTGCAGCAAAGGTGCTTTTTGGTTTTAGGTGATCCATCCTCTTGGTTATGTTCGTTGTCTGCAGAGTTCTGGGGTTGGTTTGGGACTTGAGGGAAACCATTTCAAAGGGAGGGGGAAGCATGCTCGGGTCTTGCAGCAAGAGGTTTGCTGCACCCAGGGAGTTACTGGTGCTGTCACGTAACTGCTGCTATGAGATGCTCATTGGGAAGGGAAGGGCTCCTGTGTGCCCATCTCTGCAGCCCCAGCCCTGCCGAGGGCTCCGGCCAAGCTCTGACATTGTTCCTGGGGGATAGAGGAGTGACATGGAGATGTTTGCTTATCGCTGGTGAGACCCATCGGCCTGTGTTGGGAAGGGTCCGTGGCTGCAGCTTTGAAACCTAAACAAGTAAACATCCCTTGTTCTGGAATTGTTGGGATTTAAAGAGAGGAAGTGTTTGTTTGTGGATGTGGACTGTCCCTCCTGTTTGCTGTGCCTGATAAGAGCTGCTCTTCAGCTGGGCCCTCCCTGCAGTCATCATCTCAGCAGCCTCCATTCTGCCTTTAGCAGAGCACCATGTGTTCTGGTGAGGGTTCTTACAAATGTATTGACTCAAACACAGTGGGAAGCAGCTGCAGAGCAGTGCAGAGCAGTGCAGAGCAGGCTGCTGTGGCAGCTGCTGCAGAAGGGAGTTTGCTGCTGTTGCGTGTTCGTGGTGGGACACTCTTGCAATGCCTCCAGCCTGCTCTCAGGAGCTCTGTCCTGGGACGTGGCCGTGGGGACTCTGTCCTGCGTCAGAGGCTTGGGGTGGTGGGGGTTTGTTGTTCCTTGCACTGCCTGGTAGCAGCTCGAGGAGGTTTTGGGGAGCTGGATTTGGAGCATTCTGAGTAGGGTGTGATGCTGTAGACGTGGTTTCTGCAGGAGAGGAGAGGAGAGCAGGCTAAATGGGCCCTGCACTATCCCCAGAGCTGGCTGGTGGGGCTCAGTCCAAGTGAAGACATTCCAAAGAGTTCAGACAGCCTGTCCCAGATGTGACCCAGCTCTGGGCCACTCCGCTGGGAGCACAGTATTCCTGCTTTTCCAATAGCTCTCCTTGCAAAAAAGAGAAACAGCAAGATCCAAACCTCATGAATTAGGAAATGTGTATTGCTGGAGAAACAAATGGAGTGAAGGTCTCTCATGCTGCTTTGTTTTAACCACAGCATTAGGAGCAACACTAAGCTTTTGCCTTAAACACGAGGTAGGATTACTTCGGAAAGCTCAGAGGGCTTTTCTCCTCCAGGCACTCGGGTGGTTTGGCAATGGGGAGGAGTTAAATCAGAGTTAATGCAGTGATATGGAGGAGGGTGACATCTTCAAATGCTTCTTACTTTTCAGCATGTTTTGAGCAATTGTTTGCTGAGGGTTGGGCTGGAGGACTCAAAGGCATGTGTTGGATTAGGTGCTATTTGTTCTGTGTAGGCAGTGGCGCTTCATTGCTGTAGATCCGTGTGATGCAACACGTGAAGGTTAGTTCTGTCCTCTCGAAAGTGTGATAATTTTAGGTCCTCTTTATACCCGAAATATTCTTCCCATGTGATTTCCATCTTTTTGTGTCAACAGCCCAGGCTAAAGTTGAAATAAACATTGCATCAGCTTAACAGCTCTGAGGAAATCTGCTCCCTGTTCTGGAGAGGGTTTGGAGCCTTTTCATTTTATATTGTTCCAGTGTGCAAGGCAGGCATCAGAGAATCATATCACAGCATCAGAGTGGTTTGAGTTGAAGGGAGCTTAAAGCTCCTCCAGCTCCAACCCCTGCCCTGGGCAGGGACACCTTCCACTAGAGCAGGTTGCTCCAAGCCCCTGTGTCCAACCTGGCCTTGAACACTGCCAGGGATGGGGCAGCCACAGCTTCTCTGGGCACCCTGTGCCAGCACCTCAGCACCCTCACAGGGAAGAGCTTCTGCCTCAGAGCTCATCTCAGTCTCCCCTCGGGCAGGTTCAAGCCATTCCCCTTGTCCAAAGCCCCTCTCCAGGTTTCTTGTAGCCCCTTTAGGCACTGGAAGATCTTGTGAATCCTGAAGCCTGCTCAGCTCCACTGGACCTGTCCTGTGCAGATCAATGGAGTTGATCAGCACTGCAGCAGTGTGGCTCATCACATTTAGATACCCTCATTTGTAGTTCATGGTGAGGACCTGTGGCCTCCTTCAGGGACATTCGGAAGTGAGCAGCTCTTACAATTCATGGCCACACAGTTTTGGACGCCCGTTGGCTGTGTGAGTTTTCTCTCCAGCAGCACATTTCTCCTTCCAGCTGCAGAGGTGAAGGACACTGTGACTCCACAAGCCATCACGGGCCGTCTGGGGTTTTGGCATGGCGTGGTAGGAGGAAGGTTGCCTGGTCATGTGCGTGTCCTCATCTGCTCTGCTCACACTGCCAGAGGGGAACGGGCACTTGGAGGAAGAGGGGTCCTCAGAACAGCCCTGTGGAGCGAGACCTTCAGCCATCTCCTCCCCTTCCCCTAATCTTGTTCCCGTTTTTAATCATCCGCTCTCGCCAGGCAGCAGACCTGGTGCCAGGACATGTAACACTTTGGAGTCAGTTGTCCAGATGGTGGAAGGTGCATGGTCAGACCCCAACAGAGGTGTTTCTATCAAAGCAAACCTTAGCTGAAAGAGTGGGTTTGCTCTTAATGACTTTGTAGGCTGCAGGTGGCAGGACAGGGTGGTGTGACTGGTGAACGTGGTGTGGCTGTGCTTGTGGCTTGCCTTGAATAGCTTAGTGCAGACCTAATGCCAGAAAGCTCTTGACTGAGGCGTCTGCACCTCTGTTACAGCATCATCATGACAACAGAGAAGAGCCTTGCGGCGGAGGCCGACAACTCGGAGCAGCAGCAAGCCAAGGAGGAGGAAGGAGCTGCTGAAACACAAAAGCAAGAGGCTGCCCTAGAGGAAGGGGCCCAGCAGACGTCGGGGGGGCAGGCTGTGGTGGGGCTGAAGCAGAAGGCCTCCAACGGCGACACACCTGCACCCGAGGAGCAGAGCAAGAAGGAGCGCCGCACCTCCGAGGGCCGGGGCCTCTCCCGCCTCTTCTCATCCTTCCTCAGGAGGCCCAAGTCTCAGGTGTCCGAAGAGGACAAAGACAGTGATGCTCCTAAAGAGGCAGGAGGTGACCAGAAAGACCCGGGATTAGGAGCCAGCCCTGATGAAGACATCCTGGTGAAAGCCCCAATTGCAGCTCCTGAGCCTGAGCTCAAAACCGATCCATCACTAGATCTCCATTCCTTAAGCAGTGCAGAAACACAGGTAAAAAACCCTGCTCCATGTGGCGTGTTCCCTCCGTGCTGGAAAATGTGTCTTTTTAGCCAAAACTGTAAAAACTTTGTATCCCAGGGTGGAAAGCTTGCTCAGAAAAGCTCATGAGATGCTAGAAAGGCTCTTGTCAGCTCCCTGCATTGCATTGTGTGCTTCCCACACTTGCATTCCTGTGTCAGCCTGTCCTGCAAAGTACCTGCTCCTGAAATTGTGCTCACACGTCACAGCACAACTTAAAATGCCCCGTGCTGACTCCACTCTGCTGAGGGGTGGGAAGTCACATCAGAACTAGGGTTCAAGTTCATAATTCAGGACAGAGGTTGCTCACTGGGATGTCCTTGGTGGTGCAGAGGAAAAGCAGGTCCGTGGCATGAGGGGAGATTGCAAGAGGACGTGGATTTAGGAAGGGGTTTCTGCAGCTTCAAGGACTGCAGGCATGGTGTGGATGATGACTTGGTCATCTGCTCAGTCCAGGCTGGTGCTGAGCCTGCCAAGTACAAACATTTTCTGCTTATGCATCGCATAGACAGGGATTTCTGCAGAGCACATGGGCTGAGCCCAGCTCCTCGGAGCTGTCTGATGGCTGCTTTTTACAGCCAGGCTCATTCTATCTCAAGTTTTTAAAGCATGGTAGAAACTGAGGCAGAACCACTCAGAGGGAGACACTGACAAAGTGCAGCTGGTTATTGATGTGGAGGTTTTACATGTCCTCTCTTACTCTGTAGGTAGTTCCAGCTCTGCTGTTACTAGTGGAGTTGGAGAAAGGTGGGCGCCCCTTCTCCTCACACCAAACCAACCTCTGTGTGTTTCTGGAGTCATGGCACATTGGTGGTGAAATCTGGATTATTTACCCTTAAGTTCTGAACAGGCTCCAGAGAGGGGTTACACAGAATCATCAATAGTTTGGGTTGGAAGGGACCTTGCAAGCTCATCTCGTCCAACCCTCTGCAGTGAGCGGGGACATCATTCCACTAGACCAGGTTGCCCAGAGCCACCTCCAGCCAGATCTGCAAACTTTTGGAGCACACAGATTAGAGCACTGCCAACTGTAGGGAGTAGTTGTAAATCCACCTCCTTCACATGGCAAAGCTGGAGGGGAAGTAGCAGGCAGCACCTTTCTCTTTCTTTGCCCAAATCTCTGAGCCTGGGAAAACCATGGGCTGATCTCTGCTCGTGTTTCGTACCTCTCAGTCGGGTGGCATTAGCACAGTGGGCAGGAGCTGGAGATTTTCAGGCAATATCAGCCCAGAATTGTGTTTTAAGAGGAAATGCCTGATTTCTTTCTCTCTTTAACTTGGATTTGCTGCTCTGGAGCCCATGAGAGGGTGCACCACAGCCTTCCTTCACCAAGGGCCATTTGCTTCAGACGAAGCATTTGTGCTTTTTCTTTTAGCTCTTATTTCAGCTCAACGTCAGGGGCTGTTTGAACCGTGGCACTCGGCAGATATTTGTGCTGTGACAGCATTTGAGAGGTGCTGCCTGTTTGATGAATGCTGACCCAGGGGCATTACAGTGGCTTTGACTGATTCTCTGCTCCCGATTGTCCCAGCCCTGCTGGGACAGAAGTCAGCAGCTTGTGGCCATTATTTAGGTTTTAAATACCTCAGTACAGTTGTGCCTGGGTTTGATTTCATGAGATGTGATGGGCTGAAAAGACAGAGTTCTGCTCTTCCTCTGCCATGGCTGCGTGCTCCTGCTGCAGCGAGTCACTTCCAGCACTTGTCAGGGCTGCTGTGAACTCATTTAACCTGCTGAAATGGCAGTGAAAAACCCCCAAGCAGCTTCCTTCCTCCTCCTGCCCCAAACTGCAGCTCTTGCTTCTATTTTAGTGAATTAAACTGACTCACAATGTGCTTTGTTAGGCTAAGGGAGGGTGGTACGAAGGCTACCTTCCCTTTTTGGTAGCACAGAGCTGCTCAGTCAGCTCAGATCATAGAATCCCAGACTGGTTTGTGTTGGAAGGGGCCTTAAAGCTCCTCCAGCTCCAACCCCCTGCCCCGGGCAGGGACACCTTCCACTAGAGCAGGTTGCTCCAAGCCCCTGTGTCCAACCTGGCCTTGAACACTGCCAGGGATGGGGCAGCCACAGCTTCTCTGGGCACCCTGTGCCAGTGCCTCAGGGAAGAACTAGCCAAAAGGTGCTGCTGTTAAGATTTGCATGATGTAATCTGCCTTGATTCCTCTAATCAACCCCTTTTTCTGTTTTATTACATCCTTCATTAAGTGAAGACTTGAGAATGACTTGAAAAGCTTTAAAAATTAATAGCATTCCCTTGCCCAGCCAAGCTGCTGCTCCAGGTCCCAGCTCACACATCGAAGCCAGATACCTCATTGTGGGGTGAGATCCCAGCCCTGCAGTGCACCTTTGCAATGCTCATGTCATGTGATGTTCTTTATGTTTGACACTTGTCATTTGCAACTTGGGTGATGTGGGGTTTCAGCCTGCACAGGAGGAGAGGAGGGACGACCAGGACCTGGACCCCAGAGACCTCGGGGGCAAGGAAGGAGGGGAAGGCAAGGAAGAGAGCACCAAGCCAGAGCCCAAGCAAGAGACTCCGGAGCCCAAGGCAGACAAGGATTTGAAAGCTGCCCAGAAAGCAGTAAAAAGACACAGAAACATGTACTGCAAAGTCGTTTTGCTGGATGACACCCTTTTTGAGTGTGCCGTGGATGTAAGTACTGTAGGGTCTTGTTTCTGCTTCTCCTCCTTTCCCTCTCCCTTCTTCTCCCCTAGAAAAAATCACCACAAACACGATTTAATAGGAGCCTAATTTGCTGCCAGTGAATTACATGACAGGCTTTACTGCAGAACAATCTTGCTGTGAGCTGGAACAACTTATTAGTGTTGTAAAACTCTCTAGTGCCCAGGAATCTGGCTTTTATTATTCTACCATTTCCAGGGTGCCTTGCTATGTAAAGGTGGGGGGGGACAACATTACCTTACTTGCTGTTCATCTTTCATTTGTATCCCAGACTAGAGTTTAGGTTTTTGTGTTAGGTTGGGCTTGTCTAAAGATCTTTTGCCCCATTGCTTTGAATGAAGTAGGTTGGCAGCTTGATTTGTGCTTTCCTGTTCACCCAAGGTACCTTTGCTTATCAGGCTGCTGGCTGACATAGCTCCAGGAGCTCGGATGTGCAGAACAACATGCAGTGTTTAGCCTGCACTTGAATATATTTGCAGTAAACAATTTAAAGTGATTATGGTGACATACAGCACTGCAAACCCCTTCATCCGAGAGCTTTTCTTCTGCTTTATTTTGTGCATTCTCTCAGAGGGCTCTCTTGCTGCCAGGGCAATAAGAAGCCAGCAGAAATCCCCATTTCAGTATTAAAGTACTTGTCTGGAATATTAATAATCCAATTCTTCCTGCTCAAGCGTACTCCATCAGCTTGTTTCTCCCCAGTCCTGCTGGCTCAGTGGGCCAGGAGAGGGGATGTGGGCACAGGCATGTTACCTTGGGTGATCCTGGGCAAGTAGGTCAGTGCTGGCCCTTTGTGTAGCGGTGCAGCTGCTGTTGCTGTTTGGGATCCACTCGGAGCGTCGCTGTCCCAATCACCTTCCCATTGCGAGGAATTCTGTGTGCAGCCCCTGGAAGGAAAGCGTTCCCTGAAGTGTTGGTGGCAGCCCACTGGGGCTTTGTGTGTGAGTTTGCTGCCTGCGCATCCTGACAGGCTGCAGGGACACTGCTGGGGGAGAGTGGTGCTGGGGTGGTTGGTCCTGGCTCGAGCAGGATGTTGTAAGTCTCTTTCTGTAGGTCAAGAGAGTTGTGGTGGGGATTAAGAGGGGCTGCTCTCGGTGAGACACTGTTGTCTTTGACAAGTACCCTCAACTTTAACACAAGCAGAATCCTGCTCCAGCAATTTGAGAATTTACTAAGCACCTTCACAGGGAAGAGCTTCTGCCTCAGAGCTCATCTCAGTCTCCCCTCTGGCAGGTTAAAGCCGTTCCCCTTGTCCTGTCCCTCCATCCCTTGTCCAAAGCCCCTCTCCAGGTTTCCTGGAGCCCCTTTAGGCACTGGAGCTGCTCTGAGATGTCCCCTTCAGGAGCCTTCTCTTCTCCAGCTGCCCCAGCCCAGCTCTCTCAGCCTGGCTCCAGAGCAGAGCTGCTCCAGCCCTCGCAGCAGCTCCGGGGCCTCCTCTGGCCTCACTCCAGCAGCTCCACGTCCCTCTTGTGCTGTTCCCCAGAGCTGGATCAGGGCTGCAGGGGGGTCTCCCCAGAGCAATAAGTGCTTTCAGGCATCCTTTCCAGTTGACAGCTGTGGAAGGCTTTTAATTCCTATATGTCTTTAAGTGCCAGTTCCTTGAGAAATACCCAGGCTGACACATGCACTGTGTTAGCTATGGAGTCAGAACATATGTTCTAAGGACCTTACAGGACTGCAGTAAAACAAGGCTGTGGTCTTGGATCAGTTGCTGTGCAAACAGGACTAACAGGAGCGCTGTGGGCACAAGTGGAGCATTAGTAAATCTCGTTTTGCGTCACTGGAACTGCACTTTCTTCCCAGCAAAACCTTCAATAGAATGAGCTGCTCCTGGTTCCTACAGCTTTGTGCCTCAGGGGTGTTTCCCTTCATGCTTTTGGACTAAAAGCGTGTCTGTTCCGAGGGCCAGTTCCCTTCTGCAGGGTTTGGAAAGAAGAAAAGAGGAGCTCAGAATGCTCAGAGTGTATTTCTGGAGGCAAGAACCTGTGCTAAGCAGTGCTTGGTGCATAAGGCAGAAGTGGAGAAGCTGGGTGTCAGCAGCAGCAGATGGGCTTGATGGAAAGGCCATGGAAATGATGGTCTGGTTCTGAGCTGCTGTTGTCTTCTCTGAACTTCATACATCAGGTTGCCCCCAAAATGGGAGACTCCAGCAGTGGGATGTAGCAGCAGTTTCATACTGCTTTCATACTGATCATCTTTTGATCAACATCCCATTGGTAGGGTGGACCTGGGGGATATCAGTACTTGGGGAGGGAAAAAGCATACAAATCCTTGGTGCTTTTGGATTGTGTTGAGAAGCTCAGCTGTGGGGCACTTCAGACATGGAGCTGGTGGTAGCAGAGACCCGCTGCAGTTCTCATTGCTTCTCTGGTGTCAGTTTTTATGCCTGATGCTCTTTCCTGTGAGGGGTCCTGGCTCAGAAGCCACCAGGAGCTCCGATTTTGAGCTGCTCAGGACTCTCTTCCTTTCCTGATAGTGCACAGTGTGGTTTGATGACACTCCCTCTCTCCCCTCACCCATGAACCAGGGCAGGCAGAAACCAGCCCCTCCTACAGAATGTCTTCTCTCTGTTTGCAGAAACATGCCAAGGGGCAGGATCTCCTTAAGAAAGTCTGTGACCACCTCAATCTCCTGGAAGAAGACTACTTTGGTTTGGCCATTTGGGACACACCAACCTCCAGGGTAAGCAGCTGCTGGTGCGTGGTGCTGTGTGCCTGGGTGGGCTCAGCTCCTTCACAGGATCCTCTTCCCTGGGGAGGAGGTGGACATAAGCTCTTCTTAAAGCTCCTTTTGGTGTCCTCCCAGAAAGGGTTATCCCAGAGGTAGAAGTTGTGAATAAATGACTAGAGGAGTGTGGATTCGTGTTCAAAAGTGACATGAGCCTGGATTGTCACCTGGAGAAAACTCATTATCTATGAGTTAACTGCAAAATGATGCCCTTGCTTTGTAAAGGTGCAGCCCAGGAAGCCAGGCTGCCCTGGCACTGCTGTCAGTGTGGGTAAGGTCTGGTCAGAGCCACCCAGAGCACACTGGAGTCAAGGCTTTGCCCTGCAAAGGAACGTGTGTGACTCCATAGCAAAACTCTTACTGATACGGTTTCAGTGTAAGGTCTTTGTTTGGTTAGACTCAAGCAGTGTCTTATCTTTTAAACCCTTGGTTATGCTTTAACTCAAGCAATTACTCAAGCTCTGTTTCCTGAAGCCAACAGTGTGCTGAACTGAAATCAGGAGACCCCTTTATGTCCTTTAGACCAAATAGGTTGGTCCGTGATCTGACTATACCCATGCTTCACCTACAGAATCACTTCTGGGCCAGGTTACTGGGGCTGGCAGACATTTAGCATTAAATACTTCATAAATGCAAGTGTGAATTGTTAACAAAGAGGCAGAATAACACCCCATCACTATTCGAGGCAGGCAGAGCTCTGTCTTGGGTTTGGTTTTACTGTCTCTGGTGTCTTCCTGTTTTCTTGTATGTCAGATTTCCTTCCATGTGTATAAGCTGGATTTTTGTGCTCTGGGAGTTTGATGTGCTTGCAGAGGGAGGCAGAGGTGCACTTTTAGATCCAATTGGGAGAACAAGAGTTGGAGCAGCTCAACTTCTCACACTTGTGCTGTGCACTGGATCTCCCACACCCAGGAGCTGAGGAGGGTCGAGCTGCTGGGACTGGGTTTAGCTCCAGTGCAGAGTAAGCTGCTTGGTGGAAATCTGGTTTGCTCTGGTGGGGGAAGACATCATTTTGAAACCTGAAGCTCCATCTCTCTCCTGCTTTAACTTCAAATAAGACCTGACAGTGAGTTACTGATTCACAGGTAGAAATGGTCATAGAATCTCAGACTGGTTTGGGTTGGAAGGGACCTTAAAGCTCCTGAGTTCAACCCCTGCCATGGGCAGGGACACCTTCCACTAGACTATAATCTTATAAAAGATTATAAGATGATCTTAATATGAAACCAACAGATGAACTTCTGTCCCCGCGGCTGCGTGGAGCAGACCAGAGATGCTTGTGTGTGTTCCTGGACAGGGAAGGGTTCAATGCAGCCTTTCCACTTGGATTTTCATGGAATAAACCTTCCTGGGGATGGGAATTTTCCCACATGGGACTAGCAGAGGGTGCCAGTGGGAACAGGAGAGTGGGACAGCAGATAGAGCAGCTGATCAGCCCCAGAGGAGCTTGATGCTCTTCCTGCTCTGAAAGGGAGGATTGTTTCCAACCATTCATTTCTCGGTGTGGATGAAAGTGCTGCTAATTGCTGTGCCCTCCATTGGCTGCTGGCTTGGGCAGGATGAGTGCTGGGGATGCACGACTGCACCCTGAGCAGTGATGAGCAGCCCTGGCCCCAGCCTGGACAGGGAGATGCTCTGCCTAAAACAGTGGCTGTAAAGAACACAGCAAGTGGCATATCTGCCTTCGAAATGGATTTAGTTTATAGGTTAGAGGGGCAAGCACGTAAAAAGATAAGATGAAATACAAGTCTTGCAGTCTCCCTGCCGTGAAGTTACACGTCCTTCTGGTCAAAACAGATTAGCTTGAGGGATTCATTGAGTTAATTCCTTCACCTCGGGAGACCTGGATGTCCAAATCCTGCTCAGGGCTTGTGAAAATGAAGAGGATGATTTAATGCAGCCTCTCCAGCAGGGCTGTTAGCACTGTGCTCTCTCCTTCTGCAGGGCAGGCCCTGACCTCCTACAGGGTTGGCACCACCATCCTACAAAGCCCCAGATGACAGAGGTGGGAAGAAAAGGGATGTATTTCTAAAGTTTGTAGCTGAGATAATTACTAGAAACTTGAAAAGTCCTTAAAAGGGATGGAGTTCATGTCATTCCTGGAAGAGATTCCAGCCTTGCCCAGCAATTGGATGTGTTCACTTGTATTTCAGGTAAAAACCACGGCTAATGATAGAAAGTCTCGGCAGTCTTTGTTCTGAAGGGGTAAGTGTGGAGAGAGGTTGCCTAAAATGAATGCAAACGTCCTCTCTGCCTATTTTGAAAGGTTCTGGAGAGAAAAAACCTCAACACAATATTGTGCAAGTGCCCCTTGTAGCTGGATGTGGCTGAGACCTGCTGCTGAGTGCTTGTAGCCAACTGTATCCTGGGCTGCATCAAAAGGAGCGTGAGCAGCAGGTCAGGGAGGGGATCCTGCCCCTCTGCTCTGCTCTCCTGAGACCCCACTTGCAGCACTGGGTGCAGTCCTGGTGTCCTCAGCACAAGGACATGGAGCTGTTGGAGCAAGTCCAGAGGAGGCCACGAGGATGATCAGGGGCTGGAGCAGCTCCCGTATGGAGACAGGCTGAGAACATTGGGGCTGTTCAGCCTGGAGAAGAGAA